TAATCCTGGCTCTACTACTTACTATCCGTGTAACCCTGAGCAAATTCCTTAACCTCTTATGGAGCCGTTGTGAAGGTTAAATGAGTTAATTCACATAAATACTTAAAACTGCATCTGATACACAGTAAATAATACTCAATAAATATTAGCTCTCTCTGTGTATGAGACATACCTATGGAAAGAAAGCCAACAGGTGGTACCAAAAGTGAAGATAAAATAAGATAGTCTAATGAAGTGATAGTTTTCTCCAAAAAAACAAAAACAGATGTTTTATGGTGGAAAATGTTATTCTATAGCTGTGTTCTTAAACTTGGAAAGTAGCAGTGATCTTGAAATAAATCTCTCAGAAATGTGAAGACTGTACTTCTTGCTGAAATCAGTATTAAAAGCCTAACAGGTTTCTCCTGTCTTGATATAGTAGGCCATTCCTAAATCTATCCCATGCTGTGGATGTTATTCCCACTGCTAAAATAAGTTTACTCACAGTGTGTTCAATGCTAATCTCAAATATAATCTCATCAGTAAATTCTTTTCCTAATCATTTTCCAAGATACGTGATTACTCCTGCCTTTGAAATATCCAAATAGTCTACAGCTGTACCATCCTGAATGCGCCCTATCTCATCTGAAATATCCAAATAACCCTGAACTTCTTACTCTACTACATAGTAAAATCATTTGTGTACTTATCCTACTAGGTTATATGAGACTGCCTCTTGTTGATCATGCATTCAACATTTACTGAGTGCTTGTCATATGCAAAGTACTGAGGATACAAAGGCAATGAAGACATGCAACAAATAATGCAGCAACACCACAGCAGTAGGTACACTATGCAGAGATGGCATAAATGAGATGATCTCTTCTACCACACATCTGCAGTATCTAGCATGGCAGAACATGTATGGTAGGGACCCAATAAGTATTTGTCAACTTTAGTTCCTACCACCTTTTTGAAGCTTTTCCATACCACTATAGATAACTTTTTTTTTTTTTTTTTGGTTCTCCTCAAGGAGAATGGTATAGACAGACTTTGCTCCCTAAAAGTCTGTCTACACCATTCTGCACATGGTATCTTTAATCTATGTGTTAGCATGATAGGCGGTTATTTAATATTTTACATATAAATATGTCCTATCTTCCCCAACTATAAAACACGTGTTCGAGACAGCAAGAAATCCCAGAGCACTCCGTACTTATTACTAAGCATTTAGTATCTGTTCAATGGTCCTACAATTTCCTAAAGCAACCAAAATATGTCATGCACCTATTTAAATAGCTGATAGCATCACTTCTGAACCACCCCACCTGTGCTCTGGGTTCTCTATGAAGCAAACAGCTTTCACATAGGTGTTCTTAAAGCAGGAGGCTAAAGAAATGTCTGCTGGAAGCATGAGACTATGTCATTGTTCTCAAGCTAGGAGTCCAGAACTTAGAAAGACAGATTTAGTTCCTCTTCCAACTAAACACCTGGGTCCTCTGAGAACTCAGATACAAATTTGTATAATGAATTCACCCAGATATTTTGCTAAGCTATGTGCCTATAAGATAATATGCACATAGAAAGCACTCAGTAAATGACAGTTTCCTTTTTCTCCAATCTTACAAGGCCCTAGATCCTGTTGGTAACTAAGAAAAGGTAAATGCAACTATCAACCACTTAATTCCAATGCTTTGACTATCCAGAAGAAATTAATTCCTGGTTCCCTGTTGATTCTAATCTAGGAGACAGCTTAAGCGAGCTCATGGGTCTTGAAGCCTGTAAGGTGTACAGGAAGTCCTCACTTAATGCCATTCATCACTCTTGCAAACTGTGATTTTAGGCAAAAAAACATACAGCAGGTCCTTGAATAATGTTGTTTCATTCAACATCATTCCATTGTAATGATGATGAGAACAAAAAATTGGTTTTGTTATATGTAGTTTTGCTTCAAGTCGCAGTTTCAAAAAACTTTTAAATGTTAAGTGAGGACTTAATTCACCTAAAAGCTTATCACACACTCAAATATAACAAATAGGAAACATTATGCAACTTGAATACAAGAGTATGCCCACTGGTTTCTATAGTTATCATTCCATGCACAGTATTCACATGAATTCTTGGATGAAAAGTCTCTTACATATTTGGATACCATCATACTATACTAGAACCGAAGACCATACGAGTCTAGTATAGCCAGCATTCTCTGGCTACCTCATGGCACTGCATAATCACTTCCACCCAAATCTAGCCAAATCCAGGTTTAAGCACTTCTGTATCTATTCCAAGATGAACTCCCTTTCTTGTTTAATCTCAGTGACTCTTACTTCTAGAGAGGGCACTCTTCCTTCTGTATCTCTTCCACTGCTAACCTTTCTAACCATCAAGAACACACAATAGATAGTAGATCTCACATTTTAATGGCACAAATTACAATTAAAGTTTGCCAACTGAATAGAATTAATAGTGGTACTCAATGCACTTGGGAAACAAAAGAACTTTTAGTTACACCAATGTCAATGTGCAATTACTATAAGTGGCCATAAGAATAACATCTCTAGGCCGGGCGCGGTGGCTCAAGCCTGTAATCCCAGCACTTTGGGAGGACCAGAAGGGCGGATCACGAGGTCAGGAGATTGAGACCATCCTAGCTAACATGGTGAAACCCCGTCTCTACTAAAAAATACAAAAAAACTAGCCGGGTGAGGTGGCGGACGCCTGTAGTCCCAGCTACTCGGGAGGCTGAGGCAGGAGAATGGCATAAACCCGGGAGGCAGAGCTTGCAGTGAGCTGAGATCCGGCCACTGCATTCCAGCCCGGGCAACAGAGTGAGACTCCAACTCAAAAAAAAAAAAAAAAAAAAAAAAAAAAAAAGAATAATATCTCTAATCTACACTCACCTACTAATTCCTTCTCTCTCCATCTTTCACTCAAGTCAGTCCCTTAAGTTTTGTCATTCTGACTTAAATTATTAAAACCTTAACCCTCAAGCCCCACATGGTAGCTTGTGTTCTGCTGTCTGACAAGGTGTTTGTTCAGATTACCTACCAGCTGAATGACCTATTTGGCCTTCCTGGGTCTGTCCTAACAGACAGAAATTGGCAACCTAGACTCTTTCTTTCTCCACTAGTTATAGCTTCTAGCTTGACATCTTGGAAAGTTGATCTAAGGTTCAATTTTTCTGTACTCTATCTAACATTTAAAATGTCATTTTAAAAGAGTAAGCCATACATTCAAAATGTTGCTTCACCAATGTGACAGGATTGAACTCCAATGGAAAATGTCTGCCATACATGGCTTCTTTCTAAACTAATAAGTACCTTAAAATTCTTTTTCTAATGAAAATAAATTTGCTCATGTATTAATCTTTGTATGTCCTTAAAAACAAAAACATAAATATCTATCATACCAATGGCATAACTGCATTTCACACCTAACCCATTCCATATCTTAGCCTAGTTACAATTTCACATTTGTAGGTTAAAAAAATTAGACTAGAATTTTTAAAAATCCAGATAGCTAATTATAACTATAGTAATTGCCATTATCCTTTACAAAATAACCTTAGTTTCTCAAATACAATTTTTCTCCAATCCATATCTACTTTCTGCTGTGATAAATGGTGGTCTTCCAAAAGATAAAGTAAGTTCCTTGCAGTTGCTCTAAAGAAATAAAAGGTAGCAAAAGGTAGCTTTAAAATAGCTAGATATTTCTATAGTAAGGGTTACCAGAAAGGTGAAAATCATACTAAAACACAGGGTAAGCAGAATAAATTACTAGCTAATAATAGTCCTTCAACAACTAGGATAAATATTTGTAGATAAACAACAATATTTTTTATGTAATAAGCTATGAAAATGTTTCTTGGTTTGACTGGAGAAAAACTGTTAATACAGAATAACTTTTATCTACTAATTCTGCATTAACAAAATTGTCTTCCATAGCAAAAAAAGAGAAAAGCCACAAAAGATAGACAGAAAAAGTAAATGGAAACCATGCTTGTATACAAAATAAGTTTCATCCTCCCACTTTGAATCAATTTGAAAGGTAAAGTGGTATGACAAACTATTCTGATACCTATCAAAACTTTGCTTTTCATTATACTGGGAGAGTTCCAAATCAAATTATTGATTTTTATTTGAAACTGGTTAAGATAGTCAGTCATCGGATGTCTTCATCAGTTATTCAATTATCCTATAATGTCTGATGGGAATTTATAACACTTTTAATTCCCTTCTATTAACAGAGATTACATTAACAGAAATGGGAGATCAACAGATCTGACATTAACAGAGATAAAATCATACTAATATTTAACAATTTGGGAAGTTAATTTGAGAAAATATAAAGATATTTTATTGTTTAGTTTTATGAAAATTTTATGTGATAATAGCTAACATTTATTGAGCACTTACTATGCACTAGGTTCTGTGCTAAGCGCTTTAAAAGTATTACAGCGCTTTAAAAGAAATAGAAGCCTGCAAAATGGAACAAGCATTAAACTGTTTGAGTCAAAAATCTAGATTCTATATCCAGATTGAGCTAAAGCAAAAGAAGAAATATTTCAGAAATATTTGTGAAACAAAGAACATTTTACAAACCGCTAAGTAATGAGCTTACTTAAACAGGCGCGCGCGCGCGCACACACACACACACACACAGAGTAGCCAATCAAATAAACTAAGAAAAGCTTTTAACTTTCTTTAATTGAAAACAGAGAATGTCTATTTTTAGTTTGTTTAGCAAATTCTTCAAAAATACTGCAAAAAAATTACAGATATAAAAGATGTTGAAATAAATTTCATTCTATGCTATATCCAAAGTAATAGCAACCTTAGGATCAATAAGATCTGAAATAATGAGATTTTGCTATGTAAGTAAAATAAAACTCTGAAAATTAAACATTTTTCCTTTTAAATCATACAATAAACCCACAAAGGAAGTACTGGTTGTTCTTTATTTGGTAGTTACTTATTTTTCTCTTTGAATAAAGTATCCCAGAATAAACACAAAATTCTTACTTTGTTGCCCGTATAAACTTGCCCCAAACTGAGACAGCTGACCTGATGTAGATGGTGATGCCAGCATCTAGAAACAAATTAATTATATTAGAGCATAAAGAAAACAGAGCATTGCAATTATACTCTACAAATCTGTGAATCATACCATAAATGTGAAAATCTAACACTTTTTCTCATTCTTCAGAAAAACATAAAACAAACGTTCTATAATAGATTCCATGCTTCTTAAGAGAATATCACAATTGGATAAAACCAAACTGTGCAAATGAAATTAATATTTAATACTGTAAGTTTTCTAAAAGTCACACTAACTTCAGCTATAGCAACACTACTATTTCACTTAGCAAGTTAAAAAACATTATATAGATATGGTATATAATTTATATATTTGTGATATGAACTTCATGGCGCTTGTACAATGCCTTTGAATTTACTTCATCAATTTTTTTTCCTTGTAGATGTAAATTATTTGAAGATATATTATGTTCACAGAACATACATTCATTTTATATTCCTCATAGAAATGAAGGTAGCAGTGCTATATACTCAAAGTAAATACTGAAGCTGAGTAAATGAAAATATGTGTGTGTGCATATTTGTGTATTTCCTGTCTTATATTAGACAACCATCAAAACATCCTAATTAAATAAGACATGAGCCATGTCATCAAGGGGCTTACAATCTAGTGGGGAAAGAGAATGAATTATACAACTCATTATATTTTAAGGCACAGTGTGGTAAATGCTCTAAAGGAAACATGAAACATCACTGGAGCTACACAAAGGTATCAGGAATATACAGAGTGGTAACATTTAGGTACATACAATGAAGGGGTCTTCCCTCAAGAATATGCAGTGTAACAAGTGTAATAAAGGTTAGTAATGTAACCAGAAACCTCCTGTACCCCCAAAACTATTGAAATTCAAAAAAATTGAACAAAAATTTAAAAATTGAACACAAAAACCCAGTATCCAGTTGTTAAAAAAAAATAATAATAAAGGTTTGTAATATTATTAGAGAACATAAACAGTGGTGACAGGATAACTATGAAAGGAGATAAAGTTCACCTCTATTCGGAGATAAAGCTCACCAATGTTAGGGCATAGAATGCAAAATAAATGCCATACAAGAATGGCTACCAACTATAGCAATAAAAAGAAAAATAATATTAAGCAAGAAAGTGGCAATCAAAATGGGCTTTGGGAAGATAACTCTAATAGCAGAAATGGGTTATGTTGAGATGCTAAATGACAACAGCAGAAGTGGAACTAAAAATAAGAGGCATTCTGGTGGTAGAAGTAAGAGTTATTTTATGTCCTGTTGACTAGCTGGGGTATAATCGGAGAAGGAGGAGAATGGACACTCATAAAAGAGATAACTATCAGAGGCTGATGTGTGGTTTCCAGGGATGGGAAATCATGCTGACACTGACACAGTTAGAAAAACCAAGAAGTGAAACAAGTATTTTTGTTTGTTTTTTCTATTTTCTCATCCTGTCTTGTGGTGCTGCAAGGTCAAACATTTAAATGGTAGAGGTTTTACAATATACATTTCATACTTTTTTCATGTCAAAATTCTAAGTTGTTTTAATTATACTAAAGTTTGCAAAATTTTTTATACAACTATAGTTTTAGACCAATGATAAACATCAGACACTCCTGAGGTAGGGCTGAGTTATACACCACTCTAAAAAAAGAAAAAGCAGTAATATTATTAAGACAGTAGTGATTATTCTAAAAAACAAAACAAAACAAAACAAACAAACAAAAAAGCATCAAACTTTACAAATATTCCCTCCCAAATCCAGAGGATGTGTAACCTAGACAATTAAACTAACATTCTTTATCTATACAACTAAACTGTATATTCTTTCCCAAGTATAACCCAACAGATCAAAAGATGCCTAATAAGTTCTTTTCTTAGGTATTATAGATTACTGTTACTGCATTAACTGAAAATATTTTGTTAAGTATATTAAAAGTTCATTTCTAAATTGCAAGAACAAGAACATATAATAAAGCTTTAGTTGATCACACAAAGGTTTATGGCACATGTATATCCATGTAACAAACCTGCACATTCTGCGCACGTATCCTAGAACTTAAAGTAAAATTTAAAAAAAAAAAAAAAAAAAAAAAAGAAAGGAAGTTTTATCCTTTTTAGTAAGTTTTATTTTATGATTATGTAGTGGCCTTCTTTATTCCAAATAATGTTTGATATCTTAAAATCTGGTTTTCCTAACAGTAATACAAATCAACCATCAAAAAAGGGAGGTAAAAGATTTATATAAAATTCATAAGAATCATGATTTTCTATCATTATAAGCTATAAATAAAAAAGTATAGTTGTTTCTAAAGGCTGCAAATATAAGGTGTTGGCCAACATAAATGCATGACTTAAAACAATCCATAATGTGAATATTGTCAAAACACTTAAAACATTTTTCATCAGATATTTATGTTTATTGAATAGCTAACTCCAGACAACACACATTTTAGTCTACTGTCTCACACTGATTATACATCCATGAGTTACAAGTATGCCTGAGTATCTGCCCTCTCAAAATGGGAGGAGGGAGTAAGTAGGGAGGGGAAGCAGAGCATGAAGGTAAAGAGGCAGTGGGTCCCTAGGCCAACTACTTGACATCGAGAGCAGTAGGGTGATTCACTTACCACAGTGTGTAATATTAAATATAATTTTCTCTATGTGCCACTACATGAAAGCGGTTAGTAAACACAGCTTTACAGGAATAATAAAAGTAGTTTAACGTTAAATTTAAGAGTTTATAACCTTCAACACATTCATGTAAAATAAGCATCGATCAGCTATACAGACATATGTTAAAATTACTGCCTCAAAATGTTTCAAAAATGCAAATATCTAATTTCTTATAAAGTCTATCCCTAAGAATCTGTACTTTTAAATTCTGAAGGCAATATTTCATGAAATAAATTGGTGCTAAAAATGGATTTAACACACAGTGAAGAAATGTGAATGTCACAGAAATGCTTTTTATGAGAGTATAGAAAACGCACAAGAAATATACTGACAGAACAGTAAGTACTATTAACAGAAAACAAAATTTATATATTTTTTAAATTCTGAAAGTTAATAATATAAAGGTAAATTTCTTAGAAAAGTATAAAACTTTAGATCAAGAAACACATTACAGTAGGGGATGCAGCACAAATAGAAAGAGCCTAGTTTTGGAGTCAGAAATAATCTGCGTTTGAATCTTGGTTCTGCCACTTACCTATGGAACAGCCAATACTCGGTTTCTCCTATAAAATGAAAATGACTACCTACCTCACAGAGCTGAAGTGAAGGTTAAATGAAATAAAATACGACATATAGTATGTGCTCAATAAATGGTAGCAGCAGCTGCTAATAATCTAATCTTCCCCTCAGTTGCAGAACTATCATTAACAGGAGTGAGGGCGGGTATTCAGACTCTGAGAAATTTATTAAATAATATCCTTAATTTATATAACTTTTTGCCCAGGGTGCTAAAGAAAAGTTTATCTTTACAAATTCCAGGTAAAATAAGGCGTAGAACTTGTGTTCTCAAGAGTGGCAAAAGGTAGAAAAAGATTAATAGAAAGGTGAAAACAACAAGTTAAAGCACACTCTAAAATCATCAAAATAATCAGGTCTTCCAAATCTCTCAGAAATCTATAATGCACACAGCAGTCAAACAACAATAAAAAGCAGGAAGCAACTAGAAGAAATAGTAATGTGATTCTGGTTATTTCCCTAACCCATCACAGAGCTTCTTTATCCTTTAATACACAGAATGTCAAAGAAATCCACAAATTGTTGCAAGGAAATACAAAAAAATTTTGTTACATAAAAATTCCCTGACCATGACAGCAATTAAAAAATAATATTTGTTTTAAAATATTATTTTTAAAAGACTGTATAATATACTCAAAATTATGGTGATAACATAATTCCTAGCACTATGTTATTATTCCAGGACAAAAACCACAAATGAATTATGACTTTAACTGTATCATATCCACAAAGAGAAAAAGAGACAAAGAAAAAGGAAGAAAGCATATGCATGCACACACATAGAGTTCCAGATCTAGAGAGAAGCTAAAGAACCTTTAAAATTGGAAAACGAATGACTTAAAACATGAAACTAATGAAATGTAGCAAACAGGCACAAAAAAAGGAAAGACTATGAGAAGGTAATACATTAAAAAGAACAAGGCCAGGCGCGGTGGCTCATGCCTGTAATCCCAGCCCTTTGGGAGGCTGAGGCGGGCAGATCCCCTGAGGTCAGGAGTTCGTGACCAGCCTGACCAACAAGGAGAAACCCTGTTTCTACTAAAAATACAAAAATTAGCTGGGCGTGTTGGTACACGCCTGTAATCCCAGCTACTTGGGAGGCTGAAGCAGGAGAATCGCTTGAACCCAGGAGGCGGAGGTAGCAGTGAGCCAAGATCCTGCCATTGCACTCCAGCCTAGGCAACAAGAGCGAAACTGACTCAAAAAATCCCCAAAAACAAACAAACAAAAAAGAACAAAAGGGAAAAGGGGCAAGGGAGGAGGCAGGCAGTAAAACAAAACAGTCATTAAGTCACAGAACAGGGTAGCTTACAAATCAGATAACTGACGATATGCATCTACTAGGTATTTCAAACAATTTTCATTAAACTATTCTTAAGCTTACATAAGGAACATTTGAAAAATAGTGTAATACTCAATGTAGTTAATTCCTTAGTGTTAAACACTTGAGATTCAAATTTTTTATTTAAAAAAAAAGTATGGCATTATATTATATTGTCTGAATGTCAGGTTAGAGCTGAAGTACAAATTTACAGAAAGACATATGACTGACTCAAGGAATGTTTACATTTTAAAGGTTTTTAATATTAACTGCTAACCTATTTTCTACAGTCTGTCTTAATTACAGCAGTCACTTCAGTGCCCCCCTCATAAACACTAACTATTCTCCCACTTAAAAAAAAACATCCTCCATAAGCTATGTACTATAGTTCCTATTTTACAGATGAGAAAACTGAGACACGCAGAGACAGATGTCCTAAGACACATAGCTAGCAAATCAGGTAGCTGACATAAAAATTCATACAGTAGGATTTCCAGGGCCTACATTCTCAATCACCAAAAACTAATAAAAGAGTTTTACATGGCAATTTGTTATAAAATAAATGCACAAAGTATTCCATAGGTCAGTAAAAACCAATCTGAAAAATGCAATGAAAATGGCAACTGTAAAACCCTATTAAAAGGCATAAAGAACAAGATTAAAGGGAGAAATATCCTTCTGAAAAACCATCTACATTGGTATTAATGTGCAATAACTAAAAATCAATTTTTTAAAAAAAGGATGTGGAAGATTCTTACCCAAGACGTTAAAATGGTCTACAAAGCTATGGCAATTCAATGACGTAGTTCTGACACAGAATCAGTATGGTAAACAGAACAAGATCTTAGAAACAGGCCTAAGAATGTATGAGACACTAGCACATATAATAAAGGGATATTTTAATTAGCCATAAATGAATGATCTAACCCAGGAGTGGGCAAATTATTGTCTGCAGGACAAATCCAGCACACTGCCTGTTTTTGTAAGATACATGAACTAAGAAAAGTTTTTACATTACAGATGGTTATATAAAGACCTATTATACAAAATAGGTTATGATTTTATGTATATCCTTGATTTTGCTTCTTGGTCCACAAAGCCTAAAATAGTTACTATTTGGTTCTTTAAGGGAAAGTTTTCTGATCCATGATTTAAAGCATAAATGCTGTGGGGGCAATTGGATAAGCTTGTAGAAAAAAAAGTATTTGGAACCCTGCAATTCACAGGTTAAACCAAAACACATTTCTAATGGACATAAATTATATGTGAAGAACAAAGTATGATAAGAAAGTAATTGGGAAATGTCTTCCTAAGTATGATCTCAAAAACAGAAGCCATTTAAAAATAAGACTGGTGGATCACATTTAATTAAAATGATACATATACGTATACTATAAATACCATTAATTAAAGGTAAAAACTGGGAAAATATTTGTAATGAATGACAAGAGGTTATTATCCTCAATACATGGAGAATGCAAACGAGTAAGACTTAAGATCTCACTAGAGAAATAGAAAATGGCACAAAAAAGGTACACAAAGGAAGAAATACAAATGACCAATAACTATGTGGAAAAGACACATCACACTGTGTGTGTGTGTAAAATTAATGATGTTTTACAGTATGTACATGAAAACAATAAGCTTTTCTATTAGCAAAGACTTAAATGTAATTGCTGGTATTCTTGTTGGCATGGAGAGTGGTGATTAGAGTAAAAACTGGTACAAACTTTTTGACGGAAAATATGTCTGTATGACCCAGAAGATTTAAATAATCGTATATTTTTAAATAAAAATATTTTAAACATAAAATCAGAATTTTAGCAATTAATTATTTCTGAGAGCATTATAGGTAATTTTTCTTCAAGTGTATTTTTAAAAATTTGTATAATTTCCCTGTGCTATTTTGTAATTTTAAAAAAGTAACAGCAACAGCAGCCAATTTATGAGGAATATATTATTACTCCCATTTTTACAGAAAAGGAAACTGAGACTTGTTGAAGTTCTGGCTAACAGGCAAAGTCAGGATCTAAACACATATATTTGTATTGCTTTAGAGTCCAAGTTCTTAATTCCTATGCCATACTATGTTGTTAATTAATGTTTTTTAAAAAAAGGTTTTGTGGAGCAAACCATTCTGTTACTTCTGTGACAACCAACTGGATCAGAATGGTGGCCAACATTTGTGAGTATGTGTGTAAGTATATATACTAATTCTGATTTTAAAATTTAGACATATAGTATTTCTGCTTTTGAGAAGACATATATCTCTTTGTCATTCATTCTCTTTATATACTTTATTTTAGATTTCAATCTGAAAGCTTCCTATCTTCCTAATTAGAATAAATGCATTCATCAGTAATAAATATTTCATTAACATTTTACAAGCAAACTTAACTTTCATTATATAATCACAGCAATACACACAAATTGTAGGTTTTTGTTTTTGTAGTTGCACTATCAAAAATATATCCCAAATTCTTTATTTACAAGGTCAACACTTAAAATAGAAACCTGTGTAAATAATAATTCAATTATAACTTACATAGCACATAGCTAAAAGGGCAGTAAGATAACAAAAAATTAGATGGCATTATTCCACAAGCTGTTAAACTACACACTAATTATGAACAAAGCCACAACACACATTAGTTGAAAAAAGCCCAATAATGCCATTGATAGTTTGTTTCCAAAATGACACAAAAATGTTCAAATCAAAATAAAAAAGGAAAACACCAAAACAGAATAACAAATGTCCTAGCATAAACCTAGTAGGTTAAGCCGATTTGTGAAATTCTGCAAAGACAAAGGAAGTGATTTACTAATGATCAACTTCAAAGAAAAACGAGGGCATTTGTTACATATCTTAGAACTTTATAAATACTTCAAACATCAGTAAAAATCTCATTAGGTTAATAACTACAGTAGATTGTTTTATACATAAGGAAATTAGACATAGCAAGTTTATAAAGGTGTGAAAGGTAAAAAAGTTGGGCAGGTGTACGAAGTATAAGAACGCAACTGGTGTGACTAGAGTGTATAGTGTATAAAGTAGCTTAACAGAATTTTAATAATTACATTCATTTTAAAATATTTTACAAATTTGCTAATTATGACTTGGTTACATTCTAAATCCTTTTATCTCAAATGGGATTATCGAACTATTAGCCTTCCAAAGCATTTAATTCATATCTCTATATCATCCATCACATTTTGAATACAGTTCTTCCAAATTTTTGCTACTGTAGTATCCTTATGGCTGAACACAGGAGAGATACACCTGAGGTCTAGAATTACAGCTAGATGACACAGTAAGCATAAAGTTTTATTGCAGCTTGCCATTGTATCTTCAAGTCTGCATAAATCTGCTTTCTGTTCTATATCTGCATTTGTTTTAATATCAAACAAATTATTTCCCATATTGAACAAACAAACAAAAAAATCAGTGATCTAGAAGTTATACCATGTTTACTCCATGTCTTTGAGTACTTCTACCACATTATCACCATATCCCAACTTGAGAATCATGGGATATTTATTTTCCCCATTAGAATACAAGTTCATTGTCTTTGTATCCCAAAAGGATACAAGCACCAAAGGGACTAGCACTGTGCCGAAAAGATTGTCACTCAACCACAGACAGTATTCTGCGCTTGATACGCTGTTTTTCAGGAACTCAGACACAGACTTACATTGCTGAAAAAATACAACACAACTGATTAACTTACATCTTTTTCTGACCGATGTGGAAACATAGAAGACTGGCTGTAGTACATGTTTTCGTCATGGTAGTCACTGTCGACCCCCTCTACAAACTTCTTTCTTGAAGCACCAAACATGCTGTTTGTCACCTAAACAAAAATATTACTTTTATCAAGGGTAATAGTTTGGAAAATGTTCAGTTTTACCTTACTCCTACATGGAAAACAGAACATGAAGGGAGCATTGTTAAGGTACAGAAATTGATCAACTAATGGCTAGTGGGGCATATGATAAAGTCATAAATCTGATTATAACAATAAAGTGTTAGATGTTTATTTCCAGACCCTAAAAGTAGGAGAATCACATAAAGCCTATCTTAACAATTCCACTTCCTTTAAAAAAACTAAGTATCACTTACTCTTCAAAAATGGCAACCCCAAATATCATTTTCCCATACATAGATTTTTTTTTTAAATTAAGTTTAGGTTTAATTATTCAAAATCTTCACATGCATCTTCCACCTCCGTGTATTTGCCATCACCTTATTTTCACAGTTATCTGTTTTCCCAAGCATTCATCTTTCCTTACAATCTAGATTTACTGAAATATACCATTTTTTGAATCAGTGTATATATAGTGGCATACTAGAATTTTATCTCAAGCAAGTACCTACTAACATAACTGGAGTACAATCTTTCATTGATCATACTGGTGTAAAATTATTTCAATGATATAATCTGTGTATTTGTTTGCTTTTCCAGTCTTTGTAACATCCAACGTTAGCAATTTTGAGCTCACACCAACATAAATGGTTGTTGTTTGTTATCTGTGGAGAAATGGTTCTAGGACCTCTTCCCTCATGGATTAAAAAAATCCACGGATGCTCAAGTCTCTCACATAAAATGGCTTATAATATTTCCATATAACCTACACACATCCTTTCATATACTTTAAATCATCTCTAGATTACTTATAATATCTAATATAATGTAAATACTATATAAATAGTCATTGTATTGTTCAGGGAATAATTACAGGAAAAAACAGACTGTACATGTTCAGTAGAGACACAACCATCCATTATTTTTCCCCAAATATTTTCAATCTGCGGTTGGTTGACCCACAGATGCAGAACCCATGGGTATGAATGGCCAACTGTAATTATTAAACTCTGTGCTAATTTTTATTTTTAATCATTTTTAAAACGTGACCTCTATAAAATTACCAAAACTATTAACTGACTAAAGTTATTGAAGGTCAATGTGTCTTTCTCCTAACAGTACTTTGAAAATCAAGGTAAACCAATGTTAATGAGAGGAGAGATTTTAAAGAATTGAATACAAGGTGACTATGTCTTTTCACAAGTACATTTTTGGGGAAAACTCATCTCAAATTTGGTATCTGTCTTGTACATTCATTATGACAAAGAATATTTTCTTCCATTATAAATAAGTGAACAATTTCCATGTCTCATTTCAAAAAATGCTGTAGTCACTATTATATATCAGTAGACGTGGTGAACTATGTTGCAGACTTTAAAGGCCAAACTTTATATTTAACTCTGTTGAAAGCACCTATGATGTGTAACATTTGTTATATATTTTAAGTTCCCTGTTAAATATGTAGGAAATTTAATTATTTGACTGACCTCATCCTAACAAGGTCTGAAAACCTATTCAGTCAGGGATAAATAAAGTACTTTGCTATATGTTTTTAGGCGAGTAACTGCTGGAGGTGTGAAATAAACAAAGATATTTTTTAAGGGTCTAACAATTTATTAGAACACAGGTACTTAATCTTTTTTTGTGAAGCAGACTCCTGGTGAATTACAGAAGGCTATTCTGTAACTCTGTTATTTCAGACTAGGATCCCACATGCCTATCCACCAGCTCCCTAAGTAGCCCCTGCTAGAGGGAAAATAGATGTTTCTTAGTGAGTAATTTCAAAAAGCAAACAGTGGCAAAAAATCACTTTAGAGCTTGCAAATTAAGATTCAATACACATAAAATTTTAGAAGTTTGTTTTGTGAAAGTTGAAGATACATTTAATTATCTTTTTTTTTTTTTTTTTTTTTTGAGGCGGAGTCTCGCTCTGTAGCCCGGGCTGGAGTGCAGTGGCCGGATCTCAGCTCACTGCAAGCTCCACCTCCCAGGTTTATGCCATTCTCCTGCCTCAGCCTCCCGAGTAGCTGGGACTACAGGCGCCCGCCACCTCGCCTGGCTAGTTTTTTGTATTTTTTTTAGTAGAGACGGGGTTTCACGGTGTTCGCCAGGATGGTCTCGATCTCCTGACCTCGTGATCCACCCGTCTCGGCCTCCCAAAGTGCTGGGATTACAGGCTTGAGCCACCGCGCCCGGCCCATTTAATTATCTTTACAGAACTTTTACTACTGAGCTCTAATTCTAAGAAAGAATAAACATGGAAAATGCATAAAACGTACATAATTCAATAAAGTTTCAGGTGAATGTCAAGGCCTCTCTCATCAAATTTTACACACATAAATAAGCTCAAATTGATAAACTCTTCTTTTGACACTGCTTGTATAACACTTATCATCAAGACCATTATAGACTCCTAGAATTCTCAAACTGAAGTTAATTGTATAGAATTAACTTTTATGCTTAATACCTTGCAAAAAGGTTTGAAGGCAAAATTAAACATATGTTCCAGATGAAAGAAAATGAAGAAATGTTCCTTTTCCATCAATAGCAGATTTTCTCAAGAGTCACTGTGTGTGCGCACATGTGTGCGTGCGTGTGTGTTAGAGAGAGAGAGAGAGAAGAAAGAAAATACGCTAAACTTAATTTCCGTTTTGTGTGCCTTGGCACAGAAATTACACGTCAGTGACAATACTAATTATTTTTACATGACTTTGGCAAATAATTAAAAAACAAAACAAAACAAGAGAGAGACAGAGAGAGAGACGGATGGAGGGAGGGAGAAGTAAGGGTGTTTTACTTCTCCCCGACGAATGCAAGCCCCCATCCAGAGATGGGTACTGGTATGAGACAAAGAATTCTAACCCATGGCAAAATCACAAGGGAAAAGACAACACAGATTATTCATAAAGCTAGATTTATTTAAAGTGCCTGTCCTTTATTCTACATAGAATGATGGAACAAGGTAGAAGTATTTTAAAATAATCAGGGAACATAAGACTGGGATGAAAACAAGCAGAGAAGTAACTGACCAGGCAAATGCTTGAAGGAAAAGCAGTCAGTTCACAGGGTCCGTAAGCCCCTCACTGGTATGGCTCAAGCAGCATCAACTTAGGTGGTGAAGGGTAGGAACTGATGTTAAGAGAGGCTGGTTGTGGCTAGAACATATAGTGCACCTTGCAAGCCTGAGAAACTCTGGATTTTATTCTTTGTCAGATGGGAAATCAAGAGAGGATTTAGGGGAAGCTTAAGAGTAACTTAATTTTTTTTTTTTTTTAAAGGTCCTAGCTACTCCATGAGGAATGGGCTAAAGAGGGTACGAAACGAAAGCAGGAAAATAGGGTGGTGAATAGTAGTTGGACAAAGGATATACTCTGAGGCAGAAATAGTATGAATGGATGGATGGATGATATGAAAGGGTTAAACTACACCCATCTTCTCCCTGGAAGAGAAGTTAGCGTACACAGAAATCAATTTCTATACATTTCAAAGAGGATATGTCAATATTGTATCAAAATACATTGAAATTACTGGTTATAACGTATGCTAAAAAGTTAATTTGGTAAACAAAAATTTTAATAAATGACAGTCATGTGCTGCATGACATTTCAGTCAATGGTGGACCATATATATGACAGTGGTTCCACAAGATTATAAACAAGCTGAAAAATTCCTATTGCCTAGTGATGTCTTAATAGACCTAAGCAAATTTAAGAGTGTGTATATCAGTTTTTAACAAAACAAAAACATTTAAAAAGTAAAAAAACAAAAAAATTCAAATAGAAAAAAGCTAAGTATGAATATAAGGGAAGAAAATATTTTTGTACAGTTGTACATGTTTAAGTCAAGTGTTAAGAGTCCAAAAGATTAAATAAAAAAGTTACAGTAAGCTAAGGTTAATTCATTGTCCAGGAATGAAAATTTTAAAATAAATTTAGTGTAGCTTAAGTGTCAGTGTTTCCAATGTCCACAGTAGTATACTGTAATGTCCTAAGCCTTCACATTCACACACCACTTACTGAATTACCCAGAACAACTTTCAGTTCTGCAAGCTCCATTTATAAGTGCCCTATATAGGTGTAACCTTTTTTAAAAAATGTTTTCTATCTTAATTTCACTGTGTCCTTTCTGTGTTTAGGTATGTTTAGATACACAAATACCAATGTGTTACAACTGTCTACAGAATGCGTATAGTAATATGCTGTACAGGTTTACAGCCTAGGAGCAAGAGGTTATGTCACCCAGGTTTGTGTAAGTATGGTCCACATTCGCAAAATTGCCTGACGCATTTCTCAGAATGTACTCCCATTGTTAAGTGACATACGGCTGTAGTTTAAAATTTAATCAGACTTCATCATATATTAGATATACAGCATTAGAATCTTTAGTGTGTACAATTTGTCAGCTTTATTCAAGCAAACAAGTCAAGTGCTTGTATCTACTTTGTTAAGTGACCACCTTTTTACTTGACACTCACACCAGACTTTCTAAGAACAAGCAGCAGCACAAATTGAGATTTTACCAAGAAAGAATATATGCATGTAGCAAAATCAAAGTTCCTTAAACTTTTTTTGAACACAGATCTAAAACGTTTAATCAAGACATTTAATCTTTCCTTAGATTTCATAAGAACTAAGCAGCACATTCTAAAAAGTACACAGAGGTCAGGAATGGTGGCTCGTGCCTGTAATCTCAGCACTTTGGGAGGCCAAGGCAGGCGGTTCACTTGAGGTCAGGAGTTCAAGACCAGTCTGGTCAACATCGTGAAACCCTGTCTCTACTAAAAATACAAAAAAATTAGCCAGGCATGGTGACGTGCACCTGTAATCCCAGCTACTCGGGAAGCTGAGGTAGGATAATTGCTTGAATCCAGGAGGTGGAGGTGGAGGCTGCAGTGAGCCAAGATCATTGTGCCACTGTACTCTAGCCTGGCTGACACTGCGAGACTCCGCATTTAAAATAAAATAAAAAATACAGAGATAAATAAGCTA